AGTGGGGTCATGGAACATAAGAACACTAACGGGTAAGTTTATAGAATTAGGGAAGGTTCTACATAAGAGGGAGATTAATATAGCATGTGTTCATGTGAATAGATGGAAGGGTACGAGGGCACGGGATGTTAACGGGTTTAAGCTATGGTATTCAGGAGGAGCAACAAGATGTTAACGAGTTTATTGGCCATATTGGGGTGACTGCTAGGGGTTATGACGAGGTGCATGGAGGGTTGGGCTTCGGAGTTAGGAATAAGGGCAGTACCTCATTGTTGGATTTTGCTAAAGCTTTTGACCTGGTGTTAGTTAGTTCGTGTTTTCAGAAGAGGGAGGAACACTTGGTCACTTTCCGGAGTAAGGTTACCAGGACTCAGATTGATTACATTCTCTTTATGAGGGGTGATAGGGGCCTTTGCACTGATTGCAAGGTTAGGGAAGTTGCTAGAGAGGTATTAGGGGTATCGAAGGGTAATTCTAGAAACCATAAAAGGAATTGGTGGTGGAATGAGGAGGTCCAAGGAAAAGTGGAAGGTAAGAAAGCGGCATATCTCAAGCAAGTGGGGAGCACGGACGAGGAATAGCAGAGGACCTGTAGGGAGCGTTATAAGAAGGCAAGGAAAAAGGCAAAATTGGCAGTCACGGCGGCTAAGACTGCAGCTTTTGAGCGATTATATAAGAATCTTTGGGGCAAAGGAGGCAACAGGAAGCTATACATGTTAGACAAGATTAGGGAGAGGAAGGATCGGGACCTGGATCAAGTGCGGTGTATCAAAGACGAAGATAGTAAGGTTCTGGCAGAAGAGGCGTGTATTAGGCGTAGATGGCAGGAGTACTTCCATAGACTCCTGAATGAGGAAGGGGGCAGGAACATCGTGTTAGGTGAATTGGAAAACTCAAGGAGTAAGAGGGATTTTGGGTTTTACATGGGAGCGAGGAGGTTGAGGGGGCAATGCGGAAGAAGAGCAGGTGTAAGGCAACTGGTCTTAACGAGATTCAGTAGAATTTTGGAAGGAAGTGGGTCGGACAGGCTTGGAATAGCTTACTAGGTTGTTTAATGTCATTTTCAGGGTGAAAAATATGCCCGAAAACGGAGGAGTTTGATGATCCCATTGTACAAAAACAAAGGTGATATTCAGGACTGCAACAACTATAGGGGTGTCAAGCTGTTGAGTCATACTCCGAAAAATTTGATAGAGAGTAGTGGAGAGGAGGGCGTGACGTAGTATTACTATTTCCGGGAACTAGTTCGAATTTATGTCGGGAAGGTCTACTATATAAGCTATTCACCTTGTGAGAGATTGGTGGAGCACTATAGGGAAAGGAAGAAGAACTTGCATATGGTATTCATAAACCCGGAGAAGGCCTATGATAAAGTCCCGAGAGAGGTCCTATGGAGATGTATGAAAGCTAGCGGTGTCCTAGTGGCGTACATTAGGGTGATTAAGGACATGTGCGAAGGAGCGAAGACTCGGGTGAGGACTGCGAGAGGAGACTCGGATGATTTCCTAGTGGAGATAGGTTTACGTCAGGGATCGGCTCTTCGCCCGTTTTTGTTTGCCTTAGCGTTAAAGGTGCTGACGCGACACATACAAGGGGAGGTATCATAGTGTATGTTATTCGCTGATGACATAGTCCTGATTGATGAGACGCATGACGGAGTTAATGCTAGGTTGGAAGTCTGGAGACAGACGCTGGAGTCTAAGGGTATTAAGTTGAGTAGGCCAAAAACTGATTACTTGGAGTGCAAGTTCAGTGATGGGATGTATGAAGAAGGAGTAAAAGTGAAGATTTGTACTCAAGTCGTCCCCAAAAGAGATAGTTTCAAGTATTTTAGGTCTATTATGCAAGGCAAAGGAGAGATTGACGAGGATGCTACCCATCATATTGGAGCAGTGTGGATGAGATGGAGGCTCGCCTCAGGGTTTTTATATGATAAAAGTGTCCCAGCCGGACTTGGCAAGTTTTACATAGTGGTGGTTGGACCGGCTACGTTGTATGGGGGTGAGTGCTGGCCCATCAAGAAGTCCCATGTCCAGAAGCTGAAAGTAGCTGAAATGAGGATGTTAAGATGGATGTGTGGTCATATCAGGAAGGACAGGATCAGAAATAAAGTTATTAGGGGTTACTTACTTCTGCCATTCAAATCCCGCTGGCTTCAACAAACATGGAGCAAAAAGCCAAGAAACAGCTAAGAACCAATTGCTAACAGTGAGAAGTATGTAAGATAAAGCACCACCATCGTTGTAGCCGTAAGCAGCATATACCACCAACAGAAGCACAGTTTCCATGCGGAAGAAGGCCAAAGATTGGTAGACTATTTGATATTCCCACAAGAATAGAAAAGAGCTATAACAAAAAAAAAACACATTCATGTGAGCACATGAAAAAAGAGAATAGACAGGCAGTTAAGAGGCCAAACAAGAAAGTAAGTTCCATAGAAAAAGAGCACTAGAATTGAAATGTGAAAGACCATCGGAAAAAAAAATAGTACAAGCATTTGATGAGTTCTCCATAGAGATCAGTGGCGTTCTCCTGGAATTTTCTTGGAGCTATTGCAAAAAGTTGTAGCATGAGACTTCTCTGTTTAGCTCTTCAAGAAGTTTGTTTGGAAAAAAAAAAACAGTTATGTGGAGAAGTGGTTTGACAGTGTTTCTTCAAAGAAAAAATATTATTCACTCACAAAACACTTAGAGATCTTCAAAAATAATACAGCTAACAAAACACATTCTCTTTTCGTACAAACTTTTTCAAAACAATTTTTTCGAGAAGTTGTCCAAATGGTATATCTTTTGAGAGGATTGTTTGCGCATCTGTGGAGATAAGATAGAAGGAGAATGATACTACAATCTAAAGCTAGGAAGGTAAAGTAGGTGCAAAAAACAGAGATTATTTCCAAAAGGCGAAAAGAGAAGCATCATTCTTCAAGGATAAGAAAGACATACATACTCATTGGTCACTCAATTAAGATTTTGTAAGCAATTCAAGAAATTGCTCAATTTGTAGGAAATCATGATCCTATTTCTTGTTTAGCATAACAGATCAAAGTGTGAGAAGGACATAAGAAGCAGTATCAGATAGTAGTAAAGTAGAATGATAACATTCTAAAGAAATCAAAGAGCTGGCCGAGCCTGGAAACATCTCTACTGAGAACTTGTTCACCATTACCACCAGCAACTGTGCCTTCAAATAATGCAATCTGGTTGAGTCCGACATCTCTGCCCTTTGCCGACCTGTATGATCTTAGTTTAGGCACTGCCATCATATACCTGGATATATTCATGGTAAGTAATTTTTCCCTGCCGTAGAGTGGAACCAAACCCTGCATTTATACTTGAAAAATTGAAGATCATTTGGGGCATGCTTGCCCAAGCTTCCAAAATCTACTTAGAAATCTGAGTACTTTCTGTAAAATGGAGATTCTAAGTAAGATTCTTAAGTTTATTTTAAAAAGGTAAAGAAAATATCACCAAATAGAGAGAGAGAGCAGTACAACACCCGATCGAGTAGAAACTATATCGCACGTTACTGGCGAGGAAAGTGGGGTTACAATTGCTGACATAGAAAGTTGTCTATGATCAACAACTTTTATGCAATGCTCTTAGAGGTAAGTATAAAATCAAGAGATGCTATGTTGATATTAATATATCATGTGACCACTCACACTGAGAGAAGGCTTAGTAACAGTTCTCTAAATATCCTAATTGATTTCATAACATATAAAATAATATTATATTTTCTATATATCAATAGTTGTTTTGCAGGTAAAGGTAGTCCCTATTGCATCTTGCTTTTAATATTTTATCATGTGTATACATGTTTTGTTGACCTCTATACTCATGGAACAAAAGGTAATTAAAATCACGACTGGAAGGTTTTCCTCCTTTGCATTTCTCTCAAGATTAGTAATTACAATGAATAACAACTTTGTCTCATCTTCTGTTATCTCCCCCAAAAAAAAAGAGAAAAAACTTGGAGAACTTCTTTTGTAGTCTTGAGTTCTCAATTTTTTTCTGAAAACTCTTGGATACAAACTGCACCTGTGTAAGAACTGTTGCTTCTAAGCAATTCACCTTCCTTGAGTTAAAAGCATGTATTATATGTAATACTGATATGTACCTATACATTCACATTTAGAGATCCTGCTTATAGGTGCTAACATTAATTTGAATGATGTTTAAAGGTAAAATGCATAAGCAGGGGCGGCTCAACTATAGTAGTGGCCTAAAGCCAAAATTATTTATGAGGCCTAATCATTTTTAATGAAATTTCATATGTATTTTAGCTAGAATTTATCTTTTTATCTTTTGGACACAAAGTTATCAATTAATCCTTTATTATCATATCTTCTAATAATCCTTTTCAGTTAATAATAAGGTTAATCCATTTAATTTTTCTTCTTCTTCATGCAATAACTGTCAATTTGTTTTTGGTTATATATATATATATATATATATAAAAAAATAAAAGCAATTCAGTAAAATATAAATAAGAATAGACAGAAAGAAAGAGAGACAGAAAGAAAGAGGAACTCTTTTCTTCTTTCACTTTGGTGTGTTCTCCATTACAATTTACATAGCCTTTTATAGGCATAAAATGAGAAGTCTTACTATTGTAAATAGTGAATGGGATGGACATAAAGTAGGAGATTTCATCTGTGAGCTACTCACATACATGGACATCCAATCTATAAACTATTCATAACACTCCCCCTTGGATGTCCATGTAAGATAATGTGCCTCATTAAGAACTTACAAAAAAAAATATTGGGACGTACATAGTTATTTATAATATGCATTGCTTGTTGCCTCATTAAAAACCTTACCAGAAAAACCCAGTGGGACAAAACTTTAGTTAAGGAAAAGAATGCAGCGCGTAGTTACTCCCCCTGATAAAAATATCACTTAATGTCTCGAAGACAACGCTTTCTAATCTTATATATTAGGTTTTCAAATGTTGAGGTTGGTAATGCCTTAGTGAATAGATCAGCTAAATTATCACTTGAACGAACTTGTTGAACATTTATTTCACAATTCTTTTGAAGATCATGAGTGAAAAAGAATTTCGGTGAAATATGTTTTGTTCTATCTCCTTTGATGTATCGTCCTTTCAATTGAGTTATGCATGCAACACTGTCTTCATACAATATTGTTGGAATATTCTCTTTCGAAAAAAGACCACATGTTTCCTGAATGTGTTGAGTTATCGATCTCAACCAAACGAATTCTCGACTTGTTTCGTGAATGGCTATTATCTCTGCATAATTTGAAGAAGTAGCAACCATAGTCTCTTTCGTTGAACGCCATGATATGGTTGTGCCTCCACTTGTAAACAAATAGCCTGTCTGAGATCAACCTCGATATGGATCAGACAAATATCCTGCATCTGCATAACCAATCAATGATGACTTGGATCCATTTGAATAAAATAAACTCATATCAGTGGTCCCTTTGAGGTATCTAAATATATGTTTAATACCATTCCAGTGTCTTTGTGTTGGCGAAAAACTAAATCTTGCTAATAAGCTTACTAAGAAAGCTATATCTGGTCCGGAATTATTGGCAAGATACATTAATGCCCCAATTGCACTAAGATATGGTACTTCGGCACCAAGAAGCTCTTCATCATTTTCCTGAGGTCGGAATGGATCTTTCTTTATATCAAGTGATCTCACAACCATCGGGGGTACTCAATAGATGTGCTTTATCCATATAGAATCGCTTTAAAATCTTTTTGATGTACGTTGATTGATGGACAAATATTTCATCTTTCATATACTCAATTTGTAGACCAAGACAAAATCTTGTCTTTTCAAGATCTTTCATTTCAAATTCTTTCTTCAAATAGTCTATTGTTTTTGGAAGCTCCCCAGGAGTTCCAATAATATTTAAATCATCAACATACACGACGATTATAACAAATTCAGATCCAAACCTTTTTATAAAGACACAAGGACAAATTGGATCATTCTTGTACCCTTATTTCAACAAGTATTCACTTAGGAGATTGTACCACATACGACCTGATTGTTACAATCCGTATAAAGATTTCTGAAATTTTATTGAACAAGTTTCACGAAAACTTTTATATGCTTCTGGCACTTTAAATCCCTCTGGTACTTTCATAAATTTTCGTTGTCTAATGATCCATACAAATAGGTTGTGACAACATCCATTAGATGCATATTAACTTTTTCATGTACTGCCATATTTATGAGATACCTGGAGGTGATAGCATCCACTACAGGAGAATATGTCTCCATATAATCAATGACAGGCCTTTGCGAAAACCTTGTGCCACAAGTCGCGCTTTATATCTAACGACTTCATTTTATCATTTCGTTTTCGCATAAAAATCCATTTATACCCTACTGGTTTTATGCCATCAGGTGTTCGAACTATGGGTCTGAAGACTTCACGTTTTCCAAGTAAAGTTAACTCTGCCTAGATAATGTCTTTCCATTTTGGCCAATCATTTCTCTATCTATATTCATCGATAGATTTTGGTTCAAGATCCTCATCTTGTTGCATTATTTCAACAGCAACATTATAAGCAAAAATGTTATCGATAACAATATTATTTCAGTTCCATCTTTTTCCTGTTGAGACGTAACTTATTGATATCTCTTCATTCTCATTATTTTCAGGTGCCTGGACCTCCCCTAAGGTCTTATCATTTGTTACGTCTTTGGGCTCTTCTTGAGCCACTACCTCCGTGTTATGATCACTTTGATCATTTTCTCCTTTTCTTTTTCGAGGATTTTTATCTTTAGAACCGATTGGTCTACCACGTTTTAAGCATGGCTTAGAATCATTTTCTTTAATTGATTGTCCTACGGGGATATCAACTCAAATTGGAGCATTAGAAGCCGGAATATGTGACTTAGTCACCCTTGGTAGGTCAGTGAATGCATCTAGCAATTGATTTGCAATATTTTGCAAATGAATAAACTTCTGAACCTCTTGTTAACATTGATTTGTTTGAGGATCTAAATAAGACAGTGATACATTCCAATCTATCTCCTTTTTTAGCTACTTATTTTCTCCCCCTAATGTTGGGTATACTGATTCATCAAAATAACAATCAGAAAATCTTGTCGTAAATAAATCTCCA